ATAATTCCTCTTGGAATAAAACTGCCAACTGCACGCTTGTGTGTCTGATGATATGACCTTCGTACTGCCTCTCGCTGATGCTCATGTCTACATAAGCATTTTAGTTACTAAAACAAAGCACCAAAACAAATTGCGTGTTGATGGTTTATTGTGTGTGAGTGTTTGCACATATTCCTACAAGAACTTAAACTTTAGTAGAGAAAAGATTATGGATTTACAGCAGTTCCAGTGCAAGCGGGTGGGAACCAGGAGTTTTCAAGTTTATTTTATCTTTAAAGTAAAAGAAAATAAAAGAAAATAAAAGAAAAGAAATGGGCATCATAAAAATAATCCATATTGCTTGTGCACTAATTGTTGTTAAAGTCATATGATAATTTTGTGTGCAGAAGATGTTATTAAAACTGAAAATCGTGCCTTGACAGTTATGGTCACCATTCGCATTCATTGTGTGAAAAATAGCAGCTTGGACATTCTGATAAATATATACCTCTGTATTTCACTGGAAAAACATCCTACAGGTTCAAATCAATGTGAGGGTGAGTAAGATGAAAGATGTTTTATATTTAGGTGAAGTATTCGATTAAAATAAGTATAAATGTAATAAGAATGAATTAAAAATGTAAATAAGCAATCAAAATTCTGCACTTCAGTTAAAAAAGGTAAGCAAACAGTCAATTCAACAGTCAAGCATTTTTTAAAGATGCTAATACAAGAGGAATGTATTGTACTTTTCTCATTTCAATATTTAATACAGTCTCAAATCACCCTAAAGAATACCACATAAAAAAATCATGATCATCCATGTTCAGTCACATATCATTTGAAGACTATTTAATCATTTATTATTATTATTATTTGCAAATCTTAGAGATATCACCCTCCCTGCCAACTTTCCTGCTATCAAACCACCCCTGATCTCGAAGCCCATCGCCTCACGACCCGACCTGCTGCTGTACAACAATGCCCATATTCACAGCCTTCAGCCAGCAAATTGCTTCTCTCATTCCTCACCACACCCTGTGTGCTCAGCCACCTGCAAAACGAACCCTGCTGGAAATTTCACTACAAATTACCCTGTGTCTGCTCAATCCCCCTGGGAGAAGAAAAACCCCTATTCTCTCCAGAGCCCACAGTAACCATGCTTATCAAACACACATATAGTAAATTACAATAAATCAGCACCTGGATTAAAGCTACAATATATGCACCTTGAGCTTTGGGTGCTTAAAATAATGCATATGTATGTGTGTGTGTGTGTGTGTGTGTGTGTGTGTATGTGTATATAACCTATATGTATGCATTCCCATAAACCAAGCCTGAAATTGCTACGTGCAAGAAAGTTTCAAGGGACAAATGAAAGCAATGCCTAAGGCGTACTGTAAATAACAATCTTCTACATGGAATGCTTTCTTTTTTTTTTCTGCAATTTTAGGATAAGACTGCCCTCTGGTGGATTTAGCTCACAAAACCATCAAACCGGGTGATCTATACATGCAGACGAATGAGTTTGAGGCAAAACTGCCAGGAAGATGTGTTGAAAGCTCCTTGGAAAAAGGACTAGGGCTGTTTTGTGGCCACATGGCATTTTGTCAACAGCAGAAGTGAGGAAAGTCTTTAAAGCCACAGTGCCCAAATCCCCCCACTGTTTTTTTACTCAATGCAGATGCTGCAGATTGACTGATTTGTCCGACAAGTACACAACATTGAGCCTAAGAAAACAAAGCACTTCTCTACAAACGCACAACACACACAAATAGCTACTTGCTCCAGGGTTGCCAGGTTGCCAAATTGCCACTCAAAACTAGCCCAATGTATTTCGAGGGGGGTCCCCGGTAAAAATCGCGTTCAGGGGGGTAAAATACACGTTTTTTTGGCGGGGTTCCCCTGGTACAATTCGCATTCCAGGGAATAAATATCACGTTGTTGGGGTCGCTTCAACCTGTCTAGGCTACATGAAAAACAACCTAAGGCAACAGTTTTAAAGTAGCCCAATTCCGCGGGAAAACAGAAGACTTGGCAACACTGCCTTGCTCCCATTTCGAACCCTTCAAAACAAGATTCCTCTCATACTGATGTGTATTTATCAATGGCAATCAAATATTCTAGACTTTTAAAAATGGTTTCAGAAGGTGATTTCACAGCGATGCTATAGAAGAACCATTTGGCAAACAGTTCTGAACATTATAATAATCTGAAGAACCTTTTTCCACTATAAAGAACCGTTTGTGCAATGGAAAGTTCCATGGATGATAAAGGTTCTTCAAGGAGCCATCAATGCCAGTAAAGGACCTTTGTTTTTAAGAGTGTGGAAAGATTCTGGATGTTAAAGGTTCTTAATGGAACCATTGATGTCATTAAGGAACCTTTATTTTTAAAAGTCTGCGCATGTTTTTAATAAATTTATAGACTGTAAAACCCTCAGAATACACACTATGGGAGGTGCTCAGCTTTTGCAATCTGTGCCTGTCTGTGTACTGTCTTACCAATATACAAAATTTGAGATAATGTTCCTAAATCTTGGTTCATGCAGAAATCAAAAAGCATTAGCAAATAGATCACATCAGAACTTGTTCTGGGAGTGTTAAGGTTTGCGTAATAACTGCGGTTTGGGTTTGCAGACAAAGAAAGGGGTGGTCCTCTCACCCTCAGTCTGTGCTGCAGCAGCCGAGACGCAGACGGAGAGAAGGCACGGGGCCAAAGCTGTGGGGCCTGGAGCAGGATCACAGCAGCGCCTGTTTCTGTGAGCTGAGCCTGTGAGATGAATCTTTCAGGTTGTGAGATCACATGGGACTGAGTCTAAGCAGCCGTTGAACGAATGCTAACAAATTAACAATACATATTTTTCTCTCTGTAAATTTCTTTTGATTTTTAACACAATAAAATCAAACCCATGTTGACTGTTTCGCTATGGGCATTTCACATTTAAACAATTTGAAATATGAATCCGATATTTGTAGTATTTATTTCATATTTGATTTTACCTGCCTGATGAAGTCTTTTATTGATATGAATTCAAATACTATTGTTTTATCCCACCATTTACCTATTACTCTGCCATACCATTCAACTAGGCAAATTTGAGCAATAAATTAATCTAGACTGAAAACAAACAAACAAACGGTTATTATAGTTAAATACAGCTAAAAAACTTAAAATAAAACAAATGTTAACTTGTACTTAAATGTATTTTATTTCAGCTAGTTGCCACACATTTCTTTTTCAATTTGCTTAACTTGAAGTACTAAAATAACTAAAACTGAAAGAAAAAGAATAATTAAAAAATACATATATTTAAAAATAATGTAAATGACACATAAAATTCCTAACTTTAACTACAATGTAAATGAAAACATAAAATGTGAACATTTTATCTAATTCAAAATATCAATTCAATGTATATTAATGATGTTACAGTAAATAACACTGCTGCAAACTAAAGGAAAAAGAAAAAAAGGACAATGAAGACTTGGAGTTGGAGTGCAAAAAAAGATTGGAAACACATGGTGTAGGACGGAAAAATGGCTGCAAGTCTGTGGGCAGAGAAAATTTGTTGGTGGCCTATTCCCTTTTAAATAAGTTCCAAAAATGACAAAGTTAGTTCCTCTAAAATAAGTAAAACCTCAATTAAAAAATATAAATAAATAAATGCATACATACATACAAATAATAATAATAAAAAGACTGCACACATTTTTAATCCCTAAAAATCAAATATTGAGCTTGTTAGCAGATTCAATGCTTGTTAGCACTCGTATTGTGCATTTTTATATTTAATGTATTTAAGTGACTGATACATGAAGTGACTGAAGTCACCATTTACCAATACCATAGAAATGAATGCATAATGCTGTAAATTAATGTGTAATGCTCCTTCCTGTTGCAAAAACTGTCTGTGACTCCTCTCCTCTTCTTGTATCACTACTGTACATCATTATTATCCTGAGAATATCATATAAATATATACCCCTACTGGTCAAAAACATAACTCTGCAAATAATGGTAGCCCTCCATAATACTTTTTCCTAAATTCACCACCATTAGTGTGCTTTTTGCCTCCAGATGGTGTCGACAAAATCAAATAACTAAATGTTTAATGGGTATATTGGCTTTGTACAGTTTACTATTACATAGACTTTAATCACTCAAAATCCAAGATACTTTACATGAAACATTATAGGCTGCTTTTTTTATTACATAGTTCCTAAATATGTGGCCTTTTCATAGAGAATAATGACTGAAAATCAGCTTGGGTCCAGGGTTTCTTTTGTTTACAACCATATAAGCAACTATATAAGATATTACTCAGAAGGCCATGAAGAACCTTTTAAATTGTTTTCTTATTGGTCAATGACAGAACAGCTGCGCGGTTGAATTACAAGACGCCATTTGAAAACTGCTCAATCCTATTACATACTTTATCTTCATCTCTCATACCATTAGAACCAATACCAGAAATTGTTTTTATTTGAAAAGGATTTTTATTGTCTTCATCAATTGGCCATCCCAGTGCAATACACATATGTAAGAAAAAAACAATACTACGACTCAAAAGATATGTTTTAATATCACAATCCAAAGGTCAAAATATGTCCATCTGCACGAGTTTAGCCCTTCCTGTCTGAAATGTCTTTATTGCACTTCTAATGACTGAACAAACAGTTATTTAATACAAGTTCATTATTTGGCACTGTAGTGCCTTTCCACATCGAAACAACTATTTGGCAGTAGTGTTCAAAATCAAAACAAAGAAATGGATACAAATTTGAGTTAGCACAAAATACCATTCCTACAAACAGGTATAAAATTGCAAAACATCAAACCCAATTTTATAAAGTACTTTTTTGCTTTTCCTTCTTTGCATTTTTCTGTAATTGCATATCAATGCTTGGTGAAACTATTGCAAAGACAGGACCACAAAAATATGATCAATTTGATGAGAAAAGCTGTTTCATTATGACTTTTTAAGTTATTTTGTATTGTTTTTTTTTGTTTTTTTTCTCCACAAAGAAAAACTTTTATAACCATTTCATAATTCTGTTAAATAATAGCACCCATAAAACCAATAACAACAGTTTCAACAATCTGAGTGTGGAGTGTAAGCAGATGCAACGCCCAGTTTGTAATGCAAACTCATATTCTCATTTGCTGAATTGTCTCTTTATGTACCTTCACTATGCAAATGAAATTAAAGTGATAGTTCACCAAAAAAACTTGTGTTTTCATTTACCCACCCGCACGTCTCTCCATATTCATGTTACTTTCTTTTTCTGTGGAACACAAATTTTAAATAATGTGATCCTTTTAATGCAAAATAAATTGGGATTGGGTGTGTCATATTACAAGTCTTTTGAACCCAAATGTTACCTTTTTTTTATTTTGGATGATCTATCCACTTAAATGAATGTACCATAATAATGTGAACTTGTAATACTAAGTTTATTAAAGTACCACAGAAAATTGCAGGCATCAAACCAAATTTCAAATTTTCAAGTGTTATACTTTTTTCAAGGTGATTTTCTATTATATTCCCGAGGTCCAATGAGCTGACGCTCACCCCGTACTGTTTGAGGTAGGCACAGTGATGTTGTTCACTCTATTGTTCACTACTGATTCACCATTATCTTGAGTTTTAAAATATACCACATAGAATATTGGCAGGACAATGCCAATGAGCAACATGGCAATTACAGCGTTCCACCACTGGATCCCCCAGTCTGCACCGTAGCTGCGCAAACGCTGGCTTCTCCACCCCCATCGTTTGGATACACTGGAACCGCTGGAAAATCCCTCTTCTGAGGGGTCTCTGCTTTGAATCAGACGCTCAATGTCACTGTCCACCTCTTTTAGGTAATTGGTGTACTCCTGCACCTGAGGTCTTCCCGAGACGTTTGCTTCAGCGCTGTCTGATGATGCTACATCACTGGAGGGTCTTTGCTGGGGGTTCCTGAGCTCAGAGTTGGCCTCGGTTAGCAAGCCATGCTTCTTTACAGGGATTTTGATGGACTTCAGTGCATACATGTCCTGCTCTTGAAAAAGGTTGTTCACCTTTTTTATGTCAGCCACCTGGAAGCCATAGAAAATTATTATTTTTAAAGGAAATATTCACCATAAAAATGAACTCATCCTTAGGCCATCCAATTTGAGTTGAGTTTGTTTCTTCAGCAGAACAGATTTGGAGAAATTTAGCATCTACATCTTGGATGGCCTGAGGGTGAATAAATTCACATCAAATTTTCTTTTTTTTGGTGATCTATTCCTTTAAAGGCAGGGTATGTGATTTTTCAAAAACACTTTAGAAAACTGATTCGGGCCGAATCGCAAAACAAACTTGTAGCCAATCAGCAATAAGGGGCGTGTCTACTCGTGATGTGGAGGAGAGCACGTTCAGTGCATGGGACGGACATTAGCCGAGCCGAGCGACAGAAAGATAGAGATGGCGGATAAAAAACAAAAGAGGAAAACGTCTGCGGAACGATAAGGCAAGAAGTAGGACCCGTGTAAATATCAGATCAGCTTTCCAGCGCTGGAGAGAACTCAAGGAGCGGAGGCCTGCGATCGGACGCCGAGGTTGCTTTGTTTCTTCTCAATAGGTGAGTAACACCGTGTCTACAACAACTAAAGTCTGCCTACACTGGACGCGAGAAAGAGGTCAAACGACCGTTGAAAACCATTTGAAATCGGTGTCAGCACGTCATAAATAGAACCCGGCAGCAGTTTTCTGTCGGGATTTGTTGCGCCGCGCCGCTCACGTCCGTAGACACGGTGTAATATTGGTTTTGCTTTGTTTCACAGAACTAATCGTTGCCTGGGTTGCGTTCTGATATATGTGGGGCGGAGCTATCAAAATAGGGGCAAGACCCTTTTGGGGTAGGGGCGTGTTTGTTTTGGTGATTTCAAATATCAACATTGGCTACCAGAAATCACTTACTCTGCCTTTAAGGGCCTAAATGAGAACGATCTACGCTATCAAAGATGATACCTTGCATCCATATTGAAGGGCCAGTTTGTTGATATTGTCCTCATGTGAGATGTCCCGTTCCAACAAGAGCATTTCTCCCACTCTTTCTCTCTCCTGTGAGGACGAGTCTCTGCTTCGCGGCCGGAGCTCCATGACATTGAGTTCCTCATCCTCAGATGACACTTCTGGTCCTTCTTGTCTGTGTCTGAACATGTACACTTGGCCATCCGCACTGGCATGTACATCCACTGGAGCCTGAAAGGCTCGAGGGAGAGGATCTCCTCGCCTCATCACTGCAACTAGACCAGTATCTAGAAGAATAAGTAGTAAGACCAGTTCAGTTTGCATATACAGTACATTCATTTTCAAAGGTTTGGGGTGAGCATTTTTTTTAAAGGAATTCAAATTTTTATGAAGCAAAGATTAATTAAAATGTGACAGTAATTTACAATGTTACAAAACATTTTATTTCAATTAAATGCTGTTCTTTTGAACTTTCTCTTCATCAAAGAAAAAAAATATATATAATTTTCCACAAAAAAAATAAAAATAAAAATTAAGCAGCACAACTGTTTTTAACACAAAATAATGGCTGCTAAAAGAAAAACCACAGAACTAGGCTAAATCTAAACTAAAAAGAAAATCACAGAACTAAATGACATTTTAAAATAAATTAGCGCAACAGTTGTAACAATAATAATATTTCACACTATTACTGTTTTTTCTGATCAAATTTTGGTGAGCATACAAGACTTATTCCAAAAATATTTTAAAACATCCCTGAACTTTGAAAGGTAAGCGTTCATCAACTTTGAGCACTTCTATGCTTTAGGAGTCGATTTATATTAATTAGTTGATTTATATTATATTTATATATTATATTTATTGTTTGGTTGTTGTATGAAGATAACATTCAAACTTTATTGGAAACATTATCCATACCTTCATGAATTATATTTCCATACTTTTCAAATGTATTGTAACATTTAACAATGTAACAAAAAACGTGATTATCACTTATAAAAAGAATACTTTCATTGCACACCATGTGCAATCAAACAGAAATTATGTTAAATTATGCAAAATATGTAAAAATATTATTTAATTGTGAATATTTATGATTTATAAAATGATAGCTATAAAATTAGCCTTATAAAGATAAAGGAGTTGCATTTTATTAATGTTTAAAATGTGTTATTATTTCCAATTAAAAATACTATTAAACACCTAATTTAAGATGTATTGACAATTAAACTGTGGGAATGTTCATTGTGGGACTGTAAGAAAAAATGTTCTGTGTTGCACTGTTATAAATTGGTATTAACTAAAATAAATAAAAAAATGTAGGGTGTGAAATTTTATTTAGGGTCTTTTAGGATCATTTATTTTCTACAGGACCAATAGTGCCCATAGTTGAAAAACAAAACTCCAGCATATTACTTTAACTCTTGCAGGGAAACAGCATTCTATCTGCAGTCAGGTTTACAGCAGTAATAACAGTAGAAATCAACTTTATTGTAATAAAATGTTTGTAACTACAGTAAGAAACATACTGCAGAATGCAAACAACACGAAACAATGCATCATTGTTCATGTGCATACATCTACTGGGATTGTGACATTGTGGAGACTTAGTAGCACTACCTCAGAACAAAATCAGAGCTGGAAAGTGATTATTGTCTGTAGCTGAAACAACATAGAACACCGTTACATGAACTGACATTGACTGAAAAGATTGTTCCCCAAAACGGCACAAAACACAAGGCAAAAATCAACAAAATATACCTTACATTTGTTAAGAAAAGGGAGTATGTTTACAGTAAACACTTATAAAGGTGACAGTAGCTGACACTCGTAACGTTAAGCTAATTATATACTACCGAAGTTAAAAATCCGCTTTTTCAATAACTTTCACAATTATTGAGTTGAATCTGAATAATACTCACCTTTCTAGACAAAAGCAGCTACATGGTGCTGACAAAAATATCCCCAAGTGTCATTTTATAAACTTCATAACGCAACCGTGCTTGCTGGTGTTGGCGAGAAAGCCACTGTAGATTGACAGGTCCTCCAGCCAATCAGCCCGTTGAAGAAGGCGACTCCTCTACAGTAGATTACGCCTCCTATTACATAAGTGGTTGCGTTCCCGATATTTATTATTATTATTATTATTTTTGTAAATAATATATGACGTCTTTATTTCGAAATCAAAATCTGGTGTCAGGCTTTCAATTAAAATGGTAAAGTGCCGTGGTGCATTACCCGTGGCTTATGTTTCCCCAAGACTATAAAATGTCTCTCTGTTAAGTGTGGTTGAGAACACGGGCGCCTCTTACGTGTCACGGCAGGATGTGAAGGTGTGTTTAGTTGAAACAGTAGGTGTGCAAATTTAATCATTTTATCAACAATTGTTACTACCTATAATCATAACAAATTAATATTGTATCTCCTTTAATATCAATATTAAAGCAACCAGCAATGAAAACAGCTAATATTTTTTTGTGGAAACGTTAATATTTAATTTAATTTAATTAAATTAATGACTTTGATGAATAGAATGTTTAGAAGATGATTTATATATATTTTGTAATCAAAGACATTAAATGTAGGCCTATTTAATGCCACTTTTGATCAATTTAATGCATCATTGTTGAATAAATGTAATTTCTTTATATACTGTAAAAGATAATATGATAGGCTAGTCACACAAATCTTTCAATATTCAATATCTTTCAATCTTTCAAAATTCTTCTGACCATATCTGAACAAATCTGAAATCTGAAAATTCAAAAGCAGTAACAACAACAGATGTGGGTTATTGTGTTGCATTGCTTCCGTGTTGATATTCAAACAAGTCAGTTGAGGTTGGAAACATGAAGCTGTGGGTAAGGCATCCTGACAAAAATCTGAGTTGATCACGAAAAGGACGAATCACATGGTTTCGAAAATCTGAAATATTTCGAAAAGGTCATACAGGTTGTTGTCATTGGAGTGAAATGAGGGTGATTAAATGATAGAATTTTCGTTTTGGGTTAACTATCCTTTTGATAGGTTTAAGGAGATTATAACCTACATAAATGCATAATTATTACATACATACACTACCAATCAAAAGTTTTTGGACAGTAAGATTTTGTAATGTTTTTTTTTTTTTTTTTAAAGAAGTCTATCCCTGTGTATCTCTGTTAATCTGTGTATACAGATTAGTCTGGGATAAATGTGCTGACAGTCCCCGAAGGATCTTTTCACTCAAGTCTATTTAGCAGCACTTCTCAGTTAGACCTCAAGATGTCGCCATATATCTGCAGTAGTTTCAAAACAATTTGCTCAAGGATGGTTTGCAGTAAAGCGTTTTAAAACTCTATTTGCCAAAGGTCCATGTCCCTCATTCACCTTCTTTGTCAGAATATTCTTTGTCAGCATCAGAGGAACTTCTCTGCTCCGGTCTAGGAGTCAATTACCATGGCAGGGCTGTGTCAGAGCACGCAGTGCTATTGAGGTGCTTCAGGTCACCTGCTAAAGCACAGGTCAACGCTCAGGCTCAGCAGTTCATGATGGAGGACACGAGCCTGCCGTAGTTGATCCACATTTGGACACTGATGTTGGGAGCCCTGGGACATTTGTCAGTCCTCCCTAAGCTTGACTAGCAGGGTTTGTTTGAGCAGATAATGCCTTCTGCTTGCCAATATGGGGTCAGATATAACAGCAAGTTGCACACACATATATTTGTGTGTGTGTGTGTGTGTGTGTGTGTGTGTGTGTGCGCGCGCGTGTTTTGACACCGTTCTTGTGCTGTGTGAAAAAAGTTTTCAAATCCAATTTGGGCCATTGTCATATATGGTACAGGATTTGATACATGGTCACACAACCCAAGTGTGAACTGTCAAATCGGAATAAATTTTCAAATTAATTTTAATTTTAGTGTTAATTAACATCACACATTACAGTGTAGGAGCAAATGCTTGTCATCGTTCAATGCACACTTTGCCTTACCAGACAAAATTATAACGAAGCAACAGAAAACACACTGAAATAACGAATGTAATTGATTTTTGGAAGAAGCTTCAATTGAGAATACAGGAATGTATTGTAGTCAAATAAATCTGGACTACAAAACCAGTCTTAAGTCGCTGGGGTATATTTGTAGCAATAGCCAAAAATACATTGTATGGGTCAAAATTATTCATTTTTCTTTTATGCCAAAAATCATTAGGATATTAAGTAAAGATCATGTTCCATGAAGATATTTTGTAAATGTCTTACTGTAAATATATCAAAACTTAATTTTTGATTAGCAATATGCATTGCTAAGAACTTAATTTGGACAACTTTAAAGGCGATTTTCTCAATATTTCGATTTTTTTGCACCCTCAGATTCCAGATATTCAAATAGTTGTATATCGGCCAAATATTGTCATATCCTAACAAACCATACATCAATGAAAAGCTCATTTATTCAGCTTTCAGATGATAAATAAATCTAAATTTTATGACTGGTTTTGTGGTCCATATTTGACATTTTTGCTGTTTGCATCCATTTGGATACATTTTTGTAAATATGCAGGCCATTTCAGGTCAAAGAGCAGCAGCAATGTAAACAGTCAAAGCAAAACTATCAGATAATCAGAAGTAAGCATAAAAAAGTCTCAGGAAATGTATTATTGTAACAAAATATTATAATAAAGTAGTTTTAACTTTTATTAAATAAAAATAATAAATCATGCAGTCTTACAGGACAACAGTGCGTTTGCTGAAAATGTACTCTTCCTTAGGCTGTCCAAGATTTGGAGGAGTTTGTTTCTTCAACGGAACAGATCTGGAGAAATTTCTTTTCTTTTCTTTTCTTTTCTTTTCTTTTCTTGCATAATGCATTGACATTACAGTACAAAATGGCTCTTTTGGCATATCCTGAACAACTGTAAGCATTAATTTCATATGAGAGGCTCTTGGGAGCATGCGTAAACGTCATATAAAATAAAATAAAATAGGAAACTATTTAATTATCACCAGATCTTTTAGTAATTATATAACTGCTCACTGCTGAAAGTCAATGACAGGCAAATATGCCATTCATGCACAACAGTACAGTTAACCTTCCCAGTACAATCCTTCCAAGAACTGGGCATATGTGCATTCTCAGTGGCAGATTACACAGACGACGTGATCTGATGAGCATACAAGCTGTTATCTGGGTCAGCGCTAGTCTCCAATTTCACGCCCTGAAACATCCATCATATCTGTATTGCTCCTCTCCACGGAGTTCATTGACCTTCGTTTCTTGGCAAAAGCAGACTGTCACCAAAATGTATTTGCCATTTCTGTGAGTTAGCATGTATGTTTAGCTTGTGTTTTGAAGTGTGGCGTGCTAATAGAGGGACGACTGCAGTGGAGCCTGAGCTAATTGAAGCTTTGCATGTTTCACTGCTTCCACTCCTATGAACTGTTGACATTTAACTGGCCCCATGATTTATATATAACTCTTGTAAGCCACTTAAGCTTTTAAAAATAAGTCAAATTATTTTCATATACAGTATGTCACAGTATGTGTCACATTTTACCGTGCATGCACACTTAAAACCAAAAGCCCTTCCAAAAAGGGCAATCAACTGACCTTCAGTCGACTCCATATGGTACCTCAAATAAACTGTAAGCACGGCACTTAACTACAGCTGACCTATTTTTACATAAACGCGCTGTGAGAATTTCAACACTTCCTTCTGACCTGAAAAAACATTTGCTTACGGATAAGTAAGTTTTACGTAGAGTAGATGCTTAGCAACTGTATTCCTATTGATTTTTTAAATTGGTTTAAATTGTCACTGATTCAAGGCAACACATAGCAGCTGGACACTTTTATAATTGTCTTGACAACACCTTCATCCAATGCAAAAACCTCCCTGAAGGGGGAGCAGGAGCAAATGTGACAAAACAAAAATTAGCAGGAAGCAGCACATCATATCATTTACATCACATTCAGATGCAGGGTGCTACTCTGAACACGGTGCAACAGAGTGGCATAACATGCTGTGTTTCTGGGCCACTGAGCAGCATGTCAAACTGACAGAGAGAGAAAAAAAAGATGGAGAGAGATGCAGAGAGAGAGAGGAAGGTCAGATGCAATGTAACAATGAAAAATTTGCGGGTAGTGTGGCAGAAGAGCAACAAAATTGCAATCATGATACAGTATATACAAGTCTATTTATCTACATACTGAACTACATAGACACACACATATTATTATTATTAATATTAATAATACCAACAACAAAAACAACTATAATAATAATGTATTAATAATATTAAAATAATAAATATGTATTACTATCATAATTACAAAATGTAAATGACAATTATACTTAAATAACAATGCTGAATATATTGTATTGTAATTAAAAGTATCATTCTCTCACGTATTATGTATTAATATAATAATTATATGTTATATATAAATATTATATATTTTATATAATTACCATTGCTTACCATATGTATGTTTTATGTCAAGTATATTCTTAGCAAATGTATTAAACATTGATTTTTAAATTGGTTTAATCTGATTCAAGTTTCAGATTTAACACAATAAAGAAAATGCATTACTATATAATATGATATAATATAATATAATATAATATAATAATATAAAAAAATAATTGTAATTGATAATAAACCATTATGAAACCAAATTTATTTCATCCTAAAGCCAACATAAAGCCATTAAGGTTAAAATATGTGACAGACAACAATTTATATCATATCCTTAGCTTAGTTTGGATGTATAGGATGTTTTAAATGTTCATTTGATCTGTATTCACCTCTAGATGGCAGCATAGTCCTTTGTATTTAAAAGATATTTTAGCCAGATGTTGTTAGATATTTTTCCAATATAACTAGGGTTTAAAGATAAACACACACGCACGCACAGACGCAGACGCAGACGCACACACATCAAATTCATTATTTTGTGTAATAGCCTACATATTGCAAATAATAATGTCTGTAAAAATTTGATCAACAGCCTTATTTCTACTAAACCTAAATCTCCATAAACGTCATTTTAA